CAACAGACATACATTCCGCCATCTTTTAGTTGAATAACTTTTTCATTAGGTGCACATTGTTATTCGCCGATATATTTTCAAACATACTTGATAAAGCCGCCATGAGGCCTGCAGTAGTCATCTCCTTGATGACGTTGTGGGCAACCGATCTCGACAGGGTTAATTGAATAACCCTCGTAACATGTCGATCCAACAGATTCCATTCCGCCTCGTCCATCTCTTACGGCTTCTTTCCCAGTAACAGTAGGTGAAGTTTCTTCCCATAGAGGTAGTCCTCTATTTGCATCTTCCAGTAACCAAAATGTGTCATTGAACTTCTCGATCCCAGATGTCATCACTTCGTCTCCGCCCATCTTTTTTCTTTAGATCTGAACCAATACTCTGATACCAATTGTTGTGAAAAATTGATGGCAATAAAGCAAAAAATAGATCGAGAAAATTACACAAAAAAAAGGCGACACAAGATTTACGTGGTTCGGCAAATTGCCTGCTTCCACGGAGCTGCAGAGGATTTTATTACTGGAAGAAAATACCCATCGAGTGCCTCGACGTTTACAGAAAAACTCTCTATTTTTCTTTCTTTCTCTCCTCTCCTCTCCTCCCTCTCTTTTCTCTGTTCTTCTCTCTCTCTCTCTCTCTCTCTAAAGCCACATGAGAGAAAAACAAGGAGTTTCTTCCCTGTTAGCAAACCGAAAAGAAAGAAGCAACAACATCTTTTTCTTTTTCTTTTTCCCTTGCAAGCTACAACCGAGAGATTGTGATTAGGTTGGAGTGGTTTTCCTGGGCTTTGCGTTATCCTATTTATAGCCAAGCTAGTAAGCTTTACGTAAGGCAACCATAATCATATTTAGCAATTTTGCAAAGCGGGATTAAAAATTAAGGTGAGGCGACGCGGGAACGCGGAGCTTCACACGATTACGCGGTTTACGATGTTCAACGGAGAAGGAAAGAAGCGGGAGATCAGGCGTGCGACAGAGATTAAGGAAAATTATTAAACTTAATTTTCAATTTAATAACTTGCCTAAGCCGCAGTGGACATGACTTCACTTTCTCAACACCAGCCTCCTCATAGCAGGATTTCCATCAAAAATACCATCACACTATATCCTCAAGAGTGAAAAGCTTCTTTCATACACATATCTATAACACCAAAATGCTGTAAATATTCATTCCACTTCTTTGTCTCAAGGGGGGATTTGAGTTGTCTAAATGTTAGAAGGAAAATAATGTTTACGTGTCAAATATACAAATGCATAGGATTTATATGGTAAGTACACAAATCCCGAGTGAAATTTGCAAATAGCAAGCTTCTGGTGATTCATATACAATTGTCCCTAAATATAAATATAAAAATTAGGCTTTAGGCGTTAAATACATACATATATATATAAAGTGGGTCATGTATGTACAACTTCCCCTTTTAATTCTTAAGTTGGTGTTTATGTAAAAGGCAAAAGATTAGGTATTAGAAATGTAAATTTATGAGAATTGAGTGTTATGTATTGAAATATCTCACAAGTAATACAACATCGCAAATGTAAACGCTCAACAATTACATTTCCCCACGCCCCAATGCCTCAGATTCTTACAAATAGGTCACTCAAAACTTTCAGATATTTTTACAAGTAGACCACCCCGAACTTTCTGATTTTTGCAAATAGGTCACCCAAAACTTTCAGATTTTTATAAATAGGTCACCCGAAACTCTCAGATTTTTTTGTAAAAAAAAGCGAAGCGCCGGAATCCTTTCAGATTTTTAGAAGAGCATAGCACCAAGATCTCCCTCCCATTGCAAATATCAAATAAAGCCCTTCCAGATTTTTAAAAGAGCAAAAGCACCAAGCAAGTGAATGTAAGCTTTGCAAGTAACAAGTATTCAAGTGCTACGTATGTAAAACCAAAACAACATTGGAACCCCAAGCAGCAAACAAAAAAACAGAACTACAGCAGCCTAAAGTGAAAGAGGGCTTACACGCCTCACATTTAAGCTTTTAATCAACTTAGTGTGATGCTGGAATTAAAACGATGCCTGGGTGAATCAGAGATAAGTGAATAGAGCATAAAGTTTAGTCCAAGATTATCCAGTTAATGAGCACTCCGTTTTATCCATCCCAAGCTAGTATAATGCATATGGGCAACACCAAGCTCAAAGTAAGGTGCCAAGTGCATAAACACCGCCAGTGTATGAACATTTCATCATCCAAATGATGGTATAAGTGTAAGGATGCAAAAGGAAAAGTAAAAAAATCCCAACATTGTACATATGAATACATAGTAACCATATGATGCATGGAGTTTCACAAAAGAGACCAAATCCTTCACATGTATACACTGATTTTTATTTAAACCAGAATCAGCAAAGGTTCCAAACTCCTCAAACAAGAGTAAAGCTAGCCTTCATATTTCCAGACTTCTCATGGATCAAGACTATGAAGGTATTAATATAGCAACATGAAGAGTACCAAGCACATATTGAGCCTTCTAAAAAAACAAAAAATCTAGGCACCAACGAGAATGTCGAGCAACCAGACAAGAGTACTTGAATAAATCAGCAAGGTAATGAGCAACTCTGTAAAGTATCGAGCAAACAAACCCCTATCTTATGGAAACTCCGCATGAACAAGTGAAGCATGTAAGAAAACAAGAACTTCATAACAGCAAGAAAAGCTGGGGTTAAGCCAAGCCTACCCAACAGTAAGCATTCTATATTGCCGAAACCAAAAGAAAATCAGACAAGTGATCTTTCAAACTAAGGGTCCATTTGGGGTAACTCTTTGTTGGAATGGAAAAGCTTTTAGGAAATGACAAAGGCTAAAAAACAACTTATGGAAGAAGCTTCACTCTTATTTAACACCTTAACTTGGCTTGATACAAACTCAAAGACTCCACCCCTATTTATACTAGTGGCACCTCCTAAATTAATGGCTAAGATTGTGCCACCACAATTACAATCCAATGGTTACAAATAATTCCACACCTACCACACAATAATTCAACACCTACCACACCTACCACACCTACTACACAATAATTTCATACCTACCACATGTTCTAGAATAAGCTTATAGAAATTAAGCTTTATTTAAACAACTAAAACAAGTTTATATTTCAACAAACCTTTTTATTTTTTACAGTTCATGAATATAAAAAAATTGATGTTTTACAAATATTTCAGAAGTGGAATCCATTGGCGTGTGTTACGGTAGGCAAGGGGACAATCTCCCTCCGGCAAATGAAGTCGTGGAGCTCTACAAATCCTACGGAATAGGAGGCATTCGGCTATATGACAACAACCATGATGTCCTCGAAGCACTGAGAGGCTCCAACATTCCTGTCATCATTGATGTCCTTGAATCCGATCTCACTGTTATGGCTTCTGACCCCGCCGCCGCCTCGGGATGGGTTAATGATAACATTCAACCTTTCTCCCCTGATGTTAACTTCCGTTACATAGCGGTTGGCAACGAGCTTATTCCCGGCTCTCATCCTCAGGACATTCTCCCTGCAATGCAGAATCTTCAAAATGCATTGGTATCCGTTGGCCTCCAAGATAGGATAAAGGTCTCAACCTCGGTCTCTACCAATGTGTTAGGCAACTCCTATCCTCCCTCTGCCGGTACATTTTCCTCTAACATCCTTCCTATACTCCAACCCATTGTTGCCTTCCTTTCCGCCAATGATGCCCCTCTCCTCGTCAACGTTTATCCTTATTTTAGCTACATTGGAAACCCCGACAGTATCTCTCTCGACTATGCGCTCTTCACTTCACCTGCGCCGGTGGTCATAGATGGTCAATTGCAGTATCAAAATCTATTTGATGCGATCATCGACGCACTTTTCTCGGCGCTCGAGAACGTGGGAGGCGGCGATGTCAATCTGGTGGTGTCAGAGACTGGCTGGCCATCAGATGGCGAGGAAGTGGCCACTCTTCAAAATGCACAGACGTATCTCTCCAATCTAATAAATCATGTCGGGCAAGGGACGCCCAAGAGACCCGGAATTCATATTGACACGTATTTGTTCGCCTTATTCGATGAGAACCTCAAACAACCGCAAGGGACAGAGAATCATTATGGCCTCTTCAGTCCGGATAAGCAGCCTAAATACTCTCTCAACCTTTAATTAAGTAGAAAAAAAAGGTTGGTGTGTTATCTTAGCATAAATAAATTGTAAAGCTTTTTTATTTGGGAGATTAATAAAAATGTTTTAAGAAATTCATTTGCTTTCATGATTTTTAAGTATTTTTTTTTTTTTATTCAAGTCATTTTTGGTTGAATAATAACTTTAAGCAATATCTTATTTAACGACACGAAAAAAAATATCTGTGCTTAAATATCTCTCTCCAATCGTCTTGGAAATTAAGGATTCATGAAATTTAATACCTTTGAAATTAACAAATTTAAAAAACTAAATATATCACAAAATATATTTTTTATTTCTTTTCGTCCTAATCGGGAATTAAAAAAAAAACAGAAATTTTTTTCTTAATTTATTGTGGAGGGAAAAATCACAAAATAAATTTATTTACAAACATACCATCTACTTCTTATATATCTACATATCTAACCCCTAAAATTTATATTTTATATTTATGCCACTCAAATATTTCCTTTTACATAAAAAATATCAATATTTTAATTTTTAAAAAGTGAAATAAACCCTTTTCATGTATAAATTAGATGATATATACGTAAAAATTAACGTTTAGGTGCTATATATGTATGTTAATTTTTTGAAAAAAAAAAAGATCTTCTAATATTAAAACAACCAAAGGATATACATGGACAAACTAGGTGCCAAAACGGAAGAGCCGAAACGGTAACAAGGACAAACCATTAGATAGTGTTTTGCAACCAAGAGACAAGAAACTTGTCACAAGGATATCAAATCAAGGCCAACAAACAAAAGAGGCGCACTTGTAAGAGCTAAAAGATGAAGACACATCCATTAGTATCGAAGGAGCAAGACCGCAACGACAATCACAAATCATAAAATAAAAATATAGAGCAACTCAAACTCGGCTCAATTAATACACTCATGTTTACTTAAATTAATAAATAAACAAGCTTAAATATTTTTTAAAAGCTTAAAAGTTAAATTAACTAAACATGAACATAACCTGACTTGTTAATTTTAATTCACGATCACACTCATTTGTTGTCTAAGGAGGAAATTGTTAAATACTCAATATATTAAGCTTAGTCATAACTCATTAGATTTATGATATATTACTAAAATAAATTTTGATTTACTTAAATTTTTTAAACAGTAGATTTAATAATAATATATTATTATATAATCAATATTTTATGATTAATTAATAATTATTAATTGTTTTTAATATTTATTTAATTATTAACCTAATTAAATAATTATTACATAATTATAAAAAATATTCAATCCATCACACCTGATTTATAATATTAATATTAATACATTAATCTTATATAAAGATATAACATATATTTATTAATCGTAAAATTCACATTAATCATATGATATTTGTATGTCTCTATTATTTTTGTCACTCAGGAGTCTAAGGGTCTGGTTAGGGCAGCTGCAACTTATTCAGCTTATCCAGATAAGTTGATTAGTTTGATAAGCTGCTGATAAACAACTGATCTGGATAAGCTATCTAATTGTTTGGTTTGTGCGTTTGGAAAACAACTGATTCTGGATAAATGACAATTTTGCCTCTGTGCTGGATAAACTGTTTAACAGTTTGGTTTGTGAGTTTGAAAAACAACTGATTTGCAGCTTTTTGTAGATAAAAAACCATTTTGACAGGCACAATGTTGCTGCTTACATTAGAAGTTTAACGACTACACATCTGACAGTTGAGAATAAAAATATCATTTCATAACAGTACAAAATTATGATAACGGAAAAAAACAATTTCATAATGGTACAAAATTTTATAACAGTATAAGATTTTGATACTCACTTCACTTAAGATAAAGTTCAAGATACTAAATTAAAACCAAAATACATATTGAAACTTCAACTAGTAATAAAATTATAACATTCAATTTGAAGTGCAAAATTAACATATCATGAGGACCGTTGTTCGGTTGGCGCATGAACGAACCCCGAGCAATAATATGAGATTGGGGAACAATCGAACTACAAGAGATGTTCCATAACTCTCCATAACTCATTAAAATTTATATCCAAGTCAAAACTCAAAAGTAAAAACACCAAATTCTTAATGTTGTGCACCTAAAACAATCCAGGGAAATATCGTCAATTCTTGCAGAAAAATACTGACTTAAGGCAAGTAAAACTGTTCAAATTGAAAAATAAAGTGACATAAGATGCACTAGTAGAGTATCACTGACTCTGCGAGATAGCCCAGTTGCCGCAAGATCCCAACTGGGTCTTGTTCTAAACAGTTAACATCTCCAAATATAATATATATGTAAATATAATACTCCAAATATAATATATATGTATATAATAACCAGCAAACAGTGGCTTCCGAGTTATTACCCTTAAAGAGAATGAACTTAGGGTTTGAACATGATTTAAAGAGTATTTAAGCTAAATCCAGCTAAAAAGCAAAAAGGCAACCTTAAATCCTACAGGTTCTTAAAACCAGTTTTGCTCCGTTTTTCCTTAAATCCAGGATTTAGTTAACCCCGCTGGAAGACGAATTTACCGGATTTAGAGAAGCTGAAGATCGCGAAGGCGGGTGGGAGGACGGGGGAGAGAGACGAGGGTTACCTTCCTTGGTTTCGAGTAGAAGCGGAGCGGAAGGAAGAGAAATATGAGAGTTTCGGGCGTCTTCGTGCACAACGATCCGTCATCGCCTTCCCAGCTAGCTTTGATACTGACGACGGCGAATATGGGTAACGACGAATGGCAGCAGTTCTCAAGGAGGTCGTCGGATATGGGTAACAACGAGCTCCCCGTGTACTCCTCTGGTGAAGTGAAGTTGGGGGACCGCGAAGTTGATTTTGGCCACTAGGGAGAAGATACGTGGAAACGAGACGAGGGCAGCTGGGTAAAGTCGCGAACGAAAACGAGGGCCGCGGGGTTGATCCCACGGCTGGCATTTATTAAGAAATAAAATACCTCGTTTTCAAAACGCATTCTAAAAGCGTTAGCAAACAAGAAGGCGAACGTCACCCGCACTTATAAGTTATCCCAAACGGGGCCTAAGGACAAGTAAGAAATGATATAAATGATTTAAAATTAATATACTTTTTAAAAATATCTTATTATTTAAATTTTGTTAAATAATTGTTTACCAATTCAGTTACTTATTTACTTAGATATAAAATCATTTGTTAAATTTTTTATATAAAAATTCCTATTCAATTAACACACAAATCAAGTAAAAATTAAATTTAAATATTAAAAAAATATATACAAGTCAATTTTAAACATAGAATGTAAAAATTCGGCACAAACTCGAGTCGGATATGAATAATTTATAGTATTATTAAATCAAATCCAAAATATGATATAATTAGCTAGATGACAACCCTAGTTTCTTGTAAATATATTCATTTACTTTCTTCTCATTCACGGGAATAATTTTTAGCCAATAAAATGTCGTAATAGAATTTTAATGAGTCCACAATATTATCATGTTATATTATATACAAAACATAAAATGGGACGGGACAAAAAATTAAGAAAATTAAAAAAAAAAAAACTCAAAGCATAATGATTGATGCATGATAGAAGATTTGAGGCGGTAGAAAAATTATTATTTATCATCTTAGCATTGCATCAAAAATCAATATAAACTTAGGTAATTAAAGAAAAGTAAACAGGAGGAGACATCTTGACTTTTTACATGGAAAATCCTTAAAAAGGAGAAAAACCACAGGACCTGACGCAGTTGAAATAATTCACAATTAATGATGAGTATACTTGTTCACTTTTCTCCTGAATTAGGGAGATGAAATTGCAAAGTTGTATATATGTTATTGGCAATAGTTTTTAGTGACAGCAGACTGCAAGCGCCATAGTCAATTGTCACGAAAGCAGTAGTCCATCGCGAGTGTTGTAGACGATGGTTGTAACACAAGTTTCGTAAAAGTTGTAGTTGATAACCAAGATAGGAGTTGACTGGATGGGTCAAAGATGGTTGCTTCAGAAGTGTTAGTTTGAACATAGAGGTCGTAGTAGCAAGTTGCGGGAGGTGTGGACCACGTGGGTCGTATAGGTAATAGTGGTGAGCAGCGATGAGGTTCTTGAGTTGCAGGGCCGAAATCAGGAGCTGCACGAGCTGTGGACCACGTAGGTCGTGCTTGGTCACGTAGGACATAGTGGTGAGTAGTAATGACGTATGTAGGTTTTCATGGCCAGAGTCTGGAACTACGCTATGGAGCATGTAAGTCGTAATCAATCATGTTGGCCATAATGGTGAGTAGTAATGACGTCCATAGGCGACGACTGTTGGAGTCAAGAGCTACACTAGTTGTGGGCCACGTAGGTCATTGTTCGTCACGCAGACCATAGTGGTGAGTAATAATGATGTATGTAGGTTGTCATTTAGGTCATTGTGATGAGCTGTAATGACGTTCATAGGCCACGGGGTTTGGATTGAAAGCTGCACGAGTTGTAGACCATGTAAGTCGTTGTGGTGAGTAGTAATGACATTCGTAGACCACGGAGAACAGAGACATGAGTTGCATGAGCAAATGCGAGATGCGTTGTTGCATGGACTTTGGGGTGTGATGTTACACCATCTTTGGGGTGCATTGTTGCAACATCTTTGGGGTTAGCCCGGTGTGGGATGATATGTCACTTTGAAAGTTTCTTCGTGATTCTGTGATATTAGTTGTTACTTTGTATGATTCTTCTTCAGAAGAAGTGTGAGGTGACCGGCTAGAGGTGATCAACAGTGGTTGGTAGGGTCGGTTGCTGCAGAACGAGAAGGCAGCATTTGCTCCTTCTCTAAGTTTTAGCTTTCTTCAGGTTTCAAGCTCTGCCCCACCACCAAAGAGGGGAGTGGGGTTTTATTTATAGAGTTCTGATTATAATTAATGAGAGATTTTGAACCATTCTGATCAGAAGGTCTAGAGAGATTCCTTCGATCATACTGCATTTGATGGATATTTAAGAGCATTAACGATGTCATAATTGAGCGACTTTAGGCTCATTGGATTGGTATTGTCGAGATGCTCTGTTCGACTATAAGCTCGCCAGATTTGGCATCCATTTGATCTTTTAAGGATGCTCAGAAAGCTTCAAAAAATAATTTAATGGCTTGATCGGAACTTGATTTGGTTTGAATTGGACCAATTTTGGTGTCATTAGGTTCATCTCGTCGAGCAAGTTAGTTTGACTATAAGTTTGCTGAATTGGAGTTCTGGATGACTTTTAATTAAAATTTGAATGTTCATTGCTCATAAAATTTACCTGAAATATGTGTCATGCCTCAAAATTTGTGCATGATAATAGAAATTTATTGATGTTATATCAATGATAATATTTTAATATTATCTTATATGTTATTTGAGACACTTCTTTCAACACATTTTCATTATCCATAAAAAACTTATTTAAAATTTGGCCTCCGATTTAATGCATGTTGTTTTATATAAAAGTTAGAGAATGATAATATGTTTGAAAGAATGTGAAGTATACTTAGAATGAACATTTGGAAGCTCATTCATAACAATTTGACCAACCCTTTTGCCAATTTCAAAGGATAAAGCTACAGTATAATGCAAGAGAATTAATACTTACACTTTAGGACTAAATTTTATGATTCATGTTATTAAAAATCTTTATTTGGGTGAAAGAAATCATGAAAAATAAATTAATTTTGTAATAAATTTAATTAATATAAATTTTAATACTTGGGCAGAGTGGCCAAAAATATTAAAAATTTATTTTATTTTAAACAAAATCCAATAAATTTTTTTTGAATTATGTTGGCCATTATATAATACTCATTGAGGTATTTTTTTCATAATGAAGAGAAGCAGATCTTTTGAAGTGTTCATCACTGATTTATAACCATTGGCTTACACATCAAATTCATTGTATAATAAACATAGCATCATCATATCACTTTGAGCATCACTCAATCACTCAAATGATTTCCAATTGCAAAATAAATCGTGCGACCATTTCCATGTCGTTGAGACGGTTCAAACAAGTAAACTATGTCAAAATAAGCTTTTGTTTAATCATTTTGTGGGTGTTGATGAGCCTGAATCTATCATTCTTTGAATATCACATATATCTAATATGAACTTAGTTATTTATATATTAATTAATATATTTCTATATTTATATGTTAAGGGTATGAATATTCAAATTTAAGTTCTTCATTAAGTGGCCAGGTTTTCTTTGAAGTTTTATCCAACAAACTAATGATTGTAGAGAAAAAATTTCAAAAGTCTTGAAACCAAACTAACTTCTCAAAACAGGCTATTAATCAACAAAATAACATGCTACAAGACTTAAGAGTCAAATTATTCATGCAAATGGCCGCTTAACTGCCAATGAGATGGTGACCCTGATTGATCATTTCCTCTACCAACCAATAAAAGGGGACGTTCATACTTAATTAAACTTAAGAGAATATTTGGGCTCCTTGGTTGGAGTGAAGAGACCATAATGATTTTCTATCCCCTGTGGTTGTTTTAGGTTCTCATCAAATAAATCAAATATGTAGGTTTCAATTTTACCCGGCTTCTTGGGCGTCCCTTTCTTAACATGATCTATTAGATTAGAGATGAAAGTCTGTGCATTCTGCCGCGTGGCCACGCCCCCGCTATCCGACGGCCAGCCAGTCTCCGACACCACTACATTGACAGTACTGCCGCCTTCCACCTTCTCGAGCGACGAGAAAAGTGCGTCAACCATCGCATCAAATAAATTCTGATAATCCAACCCATTGTCACTAAACACTATGCCGCCTGCAGTGAAGAGTGCGAAGTCAAGGGTGATATTTCCGTTGCTTTCAATGAGGCTGGAGTAAGGATAAACGTTGAACAGGAGGGGGGAACCATGCTTGGCAAGGAAGCCAACAATGGATTGGAGTGTCGAGAAGATGGCGGGGGAGAAGAAGCTTTCGGAGGGGAGCCATGACTTGCCAAACACGCCCATAGAGACTGAAGTTGAGACCTTTATCGTGCCATCAAGGCCAACTTGTTGCAATGCGTCTTGCAGTTTATTCATTGCAGGTAAGATGTCGTTTGTATGAGAGCCAAGAATAAGCTCGTTGCCAACAGCAATGTAACGGAAGTTCACGTCATGGGAGAAAGGTAGAATGTTGTCTCGAACCCATCCAGCGGCGGCAAGGTCGCTATTTGCGATAACGGTGACATCGGGTTCAGGAACGTCGATGATGACCGCAATGTTAGTGCCTCTGAGGGCTTGAAGGATGTCATGGTTAGTATCATATAGTCGAATGCCATCTATTCCGTAAGTTGTGTACAGCCCGATGACTTCATTTGCCGGAGGGAGATTATTTCCGTCCCTACCATAAGACACGCCAATCGATTCCACTTCTGAAATATGATTAGTTTGAAAATAAGATAAAATAATAATAAACTTATTATAGCATCTGTTGATCATGGAAGTGCAATTTTACTAATGAGAAATGGAAATGCGTTTATGAAATGCGTTTATATGATTGAAATGCGTTTATATGATTGAAATGCGTTTATATGATTGAAATGCGTAGTCTTTGGGCCTTAATTAAGAGAAATGCGTTTTTAAAATATAATCCGTTTTTGTCCAACACATGCGTTTATATGATTGAAAAATTAAGAGAAATGCGTAGTCTTAGGGCCTTAATTAGCAAAGAAGAAAACTCTAATCTGTAGGGATTTGATCATTTATTTTATAAAACAAACGCACCCATATAAATTAGTGATATGATATTAATGTTTTAATTTAGTAATATGATATGTCATAGAAAAAAGAAAGCTGAAATAAAAGAAAAAATCGAACCTGCAATAGTGATAAAGCTGATAAGAAGCAATCCAGTAGCGACAATAGAGATGGAACTATCTTTTGACATTTCTTTTCTGAATTTCTACGATAAAAATACAGTTTAAAGGCTGCCTCATTATATAGAGCGAGATGGAAGAATAGTTCCAAAAATTTATATGTAGGAGAGTTGAATGCGTTGTGCACATTTAGGAGAAGTTACAAAGCTCCACATAAGGACTTGCAGGCATTAAACAAATGGGATCCATAATTTGCTTCAAGACATGGTGCAATTACATAATTATCTATCCATATTTATCCTTTTATCATTATTGCTGTCAACTTCTTTAGTTGATATTCAACTTTGATTTTTGTTGCGCCAGTTATTGCTTATTTTAGTTAATAATTACACTCCCCTCATAAGTGGAGAATGAGGTGACACGAATTAGGCCCTTGAGGCTATTCCATCCCAACCCATTGACTGACTCTTAGCGTTTTTTTGTATCATTTGTAATTTAGAATAGATCTCTCTCGAAACATATTAATAGCTCGAGCCAATTTCAATTTGAGCCTGAGTATGATTAATTAATCGAGATCAAGACGGTGTTGTAATAATAGAATTAGTGATTAGGAGAAACAAAACTCTTAGCGTTTTCTTGCAATCATTTTTAATTTAGGCTAAGATCTCTCTCGAAATTTGTTAATAGCTAGGTCACTAGTCTTTCTATATGACTAACAAAAATAAGAAAAATTTCCATTATATACAGACTTTGATCAGAGATAGCATTTTTGGTTGGTTGGTAAATTTGCTATTTTCTATTTTGCGCTATTTGGTTATTGTTTGTTTATAACTTCTAGGGCTTTAAGCTCTCTGTTTTTGTATTATATTTATTTTAGTCCTCTTGTTCAAAGTATGTAAAAAACACTTCTTGTCAAGAAGCTCTAATTTTATGTACTTTTTTTATTTTTATTAATGAAATTTATTGTTTTAATTTAAAAGAAAAAACATTGTCTAACAAGATTTTGATTCATTTTCAACTAATGAAACTGAAACTTTTTCAAATGTTCTATATGGAGTGAAAGGAAATGCCATTAAGATTCTCAAATAAAATAAAATAAATGAAGAATAATTATAGATAAATGGTGTTACTTGACAAATTTTGAAATTAAATATGTACCTTTGGTGATGCCTTGCCTCGACCCAAGCTAAAGAGATCCAATAAGATTGTGCTTTTATGTTTAGATTCATGTAAGACTTTCAATAGGAAATATTGTTTAATTTGAAATTAATATTTCATAATGTGATCTAATTATAACTCATTGTATACACCAGAAATACCAGCACGAATCTCATAGATACTAGACTGTCCAAATAATAGTTGAATGATTGAAGAATCTGACCAATCAACAACTGATGGCACGATTAGAATCCGCTGACACACTATGACAAAGGGTACAGCCTGCAGCCCCGACTGCTCAAAGTGTGTACAGGAGCACCCGACTGCAGTTGACTAACTGACCAGTAGAGAGCAAGATCTCCTACGACCGAGCGCCTCAACCGATTGACACGCCTTTCGGAAGGCATAGTCTCCATCCAATCGGTCTCCTCAATCGCCCAAACTCGAACAAGTCAGCCTAGTTAATTACCAACATGTTAAAAATTTAAATTCCAATACAAAAATGATATAAAATTAGTATAATTTATTAGAGCATGAACGGTTTCCATAACTTTTCCCTCATTCCTCTATTTATACAAAATAAGCTCCTATAAACAAGAGACAAAAATACGAATAAAATTGACGGACTCTCTCTTCCCTCCACATTCTCTCTACAACAAATTTGTGACCCGTTCTACTATATTTTCTCTTATTCACTCAATTCTAACTCTCAATGTGTGTTCACAAAAGACAACATGGGATCTAACACAGACATTGAAATAATGTATAAATTTATTTATTTATTTAAAAATTCCGATAAAACTTAAGCTTTAGTCAATGTTTAATCTGAATAAGAAAATATTCATGACATATTAGCATTGAAATATAAAAAAATTTATGAATCTAATACAAATTTAAAAGCAGTTATTCATGACCACTGTGCTTACGCATCTAACACATAAACTCCAATTTTTATGAATAATTTGACATTAATATTTCTGCATATATAATTATAACTCAAGCATTGAAAGATTGTTTAAATTTATTTTCTTAAAATTTTTGATCGAGCTCAAGCTTAGTCAAGATTTAATCTTCAAAAACAGTTCTAAACCAAATATAATACAAGAAAGAAGAAGCTGAGTAGTCCTCAAAGATAGAAACAAACACTAACCAAATAGTCCAAATTAAAATTAACAAGATGACCGACAAACAAAAAATACTCTCCGTAATCAGTTTTCCATTATGATGGCCTAATTAAGGCTGTCAAAACCGCTCGTTGTTTGCGAACAGCTCGTGTTCGGCTCTTTCTCTTAATTAACGAGCCGAACATGAACAAAGATTTGCTCATTCGTGTTCAGCTCGTTTTGGCCTGAAATTTTATTCATCAATTATATATATAAATAGAATAAAAATTATTAAATTATATTCAAATGATGTTTTAATATAAACAATAATTTTTAAATCTTGCCTCAATCAATAACATCTTATGGCTGGCTACATGAGTAGGGTTGTCAAAATGATTTTTTGTTCGTGAACAGTTCGTGTTTGACTCCTTAAGCAAATTAGTCGAAGACGAGCATACTTTTTGAGCTTGAAATATAAACGAGCCGAACACGAGCTTTACACCTCTAGGCCTAACTACTCTCCATTGGTAAACCTGATTGCATGTTTTTCGTGGTATGAAATTCTAAAATAACTAAATCTTTAGATTCCTTGTTGAGGTGGAGCACGGTAAAGACGAAAAAAAATTCACTAAATAACCGCTCCCACATTCCTGCGAGCTTCACCTGCTTGTGTTCCTTCAGTTCAAGAAACGGAGAAGTCTTGCCTTCTTCAGTTTGCGAAACAAGAAAGCCGCGCTTTCTGTCTCTGTCTCTCGCTCACGAAACAAAAAGTCGCTTACCTTAATCGCATGATTTTGTTGGAGGTGCTGGTTCGATCGTGAGGGAGGAATCGTCACTCCCTTGATATCCCTCTACGACACGTGTTTTTGCAAGGTGTTGTTTTTTGCGTGTTTGGCAGAATGAAGAAGAAGATAGTGGAAAAAGTAGGTTGCTCTTCTTGATTTCTTGTTGGCTTGCGGCAGAAGAGAACTAGATTTTTTCTCTTGTACGTATTTCTTCTTCTTCGGTGTTCCTGCTCTTGGGTGAATCTCGATGTAGAGAAAGAGAGCAAGTGGGAAATCCTTTAATTGTTGACGTGATCAAACTAGTGTAAATTCCTCAATTAGTAAGATCCTCAAGTAGTAAAATCCTCTGCAACTCTGTAGACGTAGACAATTTGCCGAACCACGTAAATCTGTGTGTTCTTCTGTGTGTTCTTTTTTTTGGTGTGATTTTTTTTCGTTCTATTTTTCACTTCGTCTTCGATTGTTCTATTTCAAAATGCACACAACAACTGGTATCAGAGCTAATGGCTGCAGCTGAAGTGAAGGTTTCAGAGATCGAGAAATTTGATGGCACAGATTTTGGTTACTGGAGGATGCAGATAGAGGATTACCTCTATGGGAAAAAACTTCATCTTCCTTTATTGGGAGAAAACCCTGAAAGAATGGATAAAGCTGAATGGAATCTGTTGGATCGACAAGTTGTGGGGGTTATTCGATTGACCCTATCGAGGTCCGTTGCACATAACATCGTCAAGGAGAGGACGACTGCAGATCTTATGACAGCCTTGTCAGGTACATATGAAAAGCCATCGGTGAATAACAAGGTGTAGCTGATGAAGAAGTTATTCAATTTGAAGATGGTTGAAGGTTGACCAGAGGAAAATATGTTGAGATTTTCATATCTATTTTACACTGTTTTTAATGATATTGCACTTTAAAGAAAGGTATTTTTGATGTTTTGTTGCAGGAATGATGAATTAGGTCATTGGAGAAAAAAGATGCAAAAATGAGCGAATTTGAAGCGAAAAGAACCAAAATGTTGAGTTTTGAACTAGGCCGCCGACGGCACCCTCGACCCAGCCAATGGCGAGTTTTTCCCGATGCTACAGGACAAAATTCTCAGAAGTCCGCCGACGGCGCCCTCCAGGGCCCGCCGACGACGAGCTCGACGATTATGCCTACTCAAGCTTTGCATAAGGCCAAATTTTGAAGGGATGCTTAGACAACTCTTGGGAAAGCTCATCCACAACTTTAAAAGACTATTTTGGCCGAAAATTGGAGAGCCTGGAGAAGGAGGGAAAGAATCGAGGGAGTAAAGGAAGTGCTAGAGAGAGTTCCTAGAGATTAGAAAGGTTCCAATATTGTGAGGAATTCTTCCAGAAATTATAAGAGTGGAGGGAAAGCGATAGATTTCTTCCTCCTTGCTACTTTGAAGAGGAATTTTGTGTGTTGTAAAGAAAGGTAGAGATTCAGAGGAACTTCGAGGAGTGTTCTTGGGGAGAAACTAGAGATAAGTTATTTACTTGTTGTAGTTTGTATGAATTTG